GAGGCACATGGATGGCAGAAAGACTTGTCAGATCAGCCTCTGATGGATGCTGAAGCCACCTGGTTTACTGACAGCAACAGTTTTCTGGAAGAAGGAGTTCGGAAAGCAGGAGCTGCTATAGTGGACGGCCGGAATCTGATATGGGCGCAGACTTTACCTGCTGGGACATCCGCCCTGAAGGCAGAACTCATCGCCCTCACGAAAGCCCTTGAACTAGGAGAGGGCAAAAGAATCAACATCTATACGGACAGCAGGTATGCCTTTGCCACTGCCATGTGCATGGCGCTGTCTATCAACAGCGGGGTCTCCTGACCTCAGGAGGAAAAGAGATCAAAAACAAAGAAGAGATCGTAGCCCTGCTGGAGGTCCTTCACCGGCCGCTGAAATTTTTATAGACACCTTCTCCGGATGGGTAGAAGCCTTCCCGACAAAACAAGAAACAGCCACTGTCGTGGTCAAGAAGATCCTAGAAGAAATCTTTCCACGGTTCGGGGTTCCCAAGGTAATCGGGTCTGACAATGGACCCACTTTCATCACCAAGGTGAGTCAGGGAGTGGCCAGACAACTAGGGGTCAATTGGAAATTACATTGCATTTACAGACCCCAGAGTTCAGGACAGGTAGAAAGGATAAACAGAACTCTAAAAGAGACTCTGACTAAATTAACCATAGAGACTGGCGTAGACTGGGTTTTGCTCCTTCCCTTAGCCCTGTTCAGAGTTAGGAACACTCCCTCCCAGTTCAACCTAACCCCCTTTGAGATATTCTATGGTGCCCCTGCCCCCTTGGCTTTCCTGGGGGACGCCTTTAAACCCACTTGCCACAGTAACAGTGACTTATATGCCAGGTTAAAAGGACTTCAAGCCATGCAGAAGGAAGTTTGGATGCAGTTGGCAGCCCCCCTAAGTTTCTCATCAGTTCCAGGTTGGGGACACAGTCTATGTCAGACGGCATCGTTCCCGGACCCTGGAGCCTCACTGGAAAAGACCTTACTTAGTGCTTCTAACAACCCCAAAGGCTGTAAAGGTAGACGGGATCTCCGCTTGGGTCCACGCCTCGCACGTGAAACCTGCGCCACCAGAGGACCAAGAAAAGGGGAGCACCACCGGGAGAGTCCAGAGTGCTGTAGAGCACCCCTTAAGACTGAAAGTTGTTTGGACACCTTAACTGTGATAAGATAAAAACTCTCTTGTTTCTCTTATGTCTAACCATTCTCTTCCAGGGTGCCAAAACTTCCAGCCCACATGCTCCTAAAAAGTTAACTTG